CCCCCACCCCCACCCCATGGTGAGCAAAGACAAATAATTCGGCAAAAACAGGACTCCATTAGAGCAGAAAGCAGTGTTGCATTAGCGAGCCATTTGCCGGGCCGGGGGCCTAACGAGCCGGGCGGCCTCCCGCRCTCTCAGCTGGACCTCATCTGCATAACGACCGCCTCTCTGTCGTTAGGGACCCCGTGTTGCCACGGCGCTGCAACGTCAGTGGTTTGGTTCTCTCTGTCAGGGAGGTTTGCATTAGCTTAATGAGGACCGCTCAAGGACAAACAGTCAGCAGAAATTTACAGCGAGAGAACAAGTAAAGGAGATTGAGAGTTGTTTGTTTGTGGATCCTCATGGCTGTTGCCCGTGTAGACGTATTCTAATAGCGAATCCCATTATTCAATAATTGAATCTAAAAAAAAATCACAATAGCGTTTCAGGTAAGGCTTCAGATGCTGTCAGATATCTGCAATTATATTGACAAAACAGTGATGGCACCAACAACGTGAATGCCATGCATCACACATCTCATTTATGCGATTGATTTTCAATTGATTTTTTTTTGCATGCAAATGAACCGCATGCACATTTGCTGGATTGCAAGCTTTTGTATTTGACCTAGAACATCACGGGACAGGTTTACCGTGGATTGAACGGAGTTTCAAAGAGCTCCTCAGCACTGTCATTCTGTCAATCCATTCTACAATAATCTGCGTGTGTGTGTGTGTGAGACAGTTTTGGCTGTGTGCGCTGTTTCACTGGTCTTTGAACAACGCATCCATCCAGCAAAGATCAGAGGCCATCCCTGACACCTCACTCCCATTAACCAAACATCAGCAGAATTTTAGTCTCTCTCTGTGTCTTTCTTTCTCCCCCCACCTTTGCCTTTCCGTTCTCTTCCGCTGACTGGCACTCTTCACGTTGTGAAGTTCATTAGCCCTGGGGAGAGGTGGGAGAGGAATAAGAGTGGGGGTAAAGAGAGATGAACTTGGTAGAAAAGAGAAAAACAGACAATGACCTTGATTAGAGAGATGGGTAAATGATCAAACAAGCTGGCAGCTGTGTGTGCGCCTGTGTGTGTATTTTATGCCAAACGGTGTGTGTGTGTGTGTGTGTGTGAGAGTGAAGTAAAGTAGGCGTAAAACAGTAACTCAATAAAGGATCAGTCACATCCAAGGAGCCTGGGGAGCCCACGCTGCTGACTGCGCACTTCGGCAGCTACAAATGTGTGCGTGTCTGTGTGTGAGCCACGGGAGTGTAGTTGGATGCCCTCCGCTGAGCTCGCCAGCACCTGCTAATTACCTTTCTCTACAGAGCAATGCTTTTAGCAAGGAATAGAGGAGGGGGGAAGAAAGAGGGGGTTCGTATTGCCTCTCATATGTGAAACACCTTGAATGTGACAGTTGCCAAGACGCGAGGCCGAGGCAGCTTGAGGGTGGGGTGGGCGGATTTGGAGCTGAAGATGCTGCGGTCAGCTAAGTAGAGAAAACACCCTCATTTGTCACAGACAGAGAAAAGCGCCAGATATCGCATCGCACGTTTGCGCTCATCCCTGCTCCAATAACTGCCCGAGTCCCCGGACATCTCTGTCTTCAGTGGCTCAGATGACAGCAGAAGTGAGGAAAAAATAAAAATAATAATAATAATGCAGAAAATGGCTAATCTGTACTCCCTCCCTCGCTGTCAGGAGTAGGGAATGTGCAGTTCTCAGGTTTACAAACAGATGGTCATCCATAATGCAAGTTCTTAGCTGCTTTTATGGGATATGTCAAGCTGTGATGCATTATCAATAGGCAGGCTGCCATCTAATAAAGGGCAACCACATTTTTAAAACCCAAAACCAGAACTTCTTGCGTGTGTGTGGCTGAACTTGCACACGGCAGTTGAACATGCGTTAGTTTGTGGGGCTTGTCATGTTTACGTACAGTTAAGCATAGACATGAAAAAGCCACAAATTAGCTTGGCCACATATGTCATTGGTGGACGTTTTGTAGGCATTGAAAAAAACATCATGCATGGATGTTTGTTTAATGACAAGTCTCACCGCTCAGACATCAAAACGCCTTTCTGTCCTTTCAGAGAACAGCTCCTTGGCGGCTCAGACGACCAAGGAGAGCAGCGACAGACACGTCTACCAGAAACCCCCGTCAGGCAGGGAGAACTGCGAGAGGGTGTCTTACCCTGCAGGGCAGAAGCTCCCAGCAGGTCTCCACCACACTCCCTTCATCTTCCCGGAAGGCTTGTCCTCCATAGAGACCCTGCTCACAAACATCCAGGTGAGGCTCTGCCGGGGCTTTATTATTATCACGCTCTAAGATGAATAGGAAAAGAGATGAACCACTCTCTGGGATTTCCTGAAGTCGTAAATAGCAGACGAGGTAGACATTTAGGATGTGCAGTAATTGGGTTGGGCGTGTGCTGACCTGCTTCTCCGATTTTACACGGCTTTGTTAAAGCGGAGTAGTGAGAACCTTCCCTTGTTTGGCTTTCATAGAGAGGGGAAAAACATCCCCTGTCTGACACTGATGTGTCGGCAGTTTCTCTCTTATCAAATGGTTAGGAGACCGCAGTTGACTTTTTTTTTAGAACTTGGAATCAATTATCTACCGCTGCTTATTGTAAATGATGAAATCAAAACACAAAAAAACGGTTATTCTGAACTGTACTAAAAGGTGCAGTTTGAAAGAATTTACTTTCCAGATATATTGGTATRCAAATGTGGATCCATTCTCAATGTAAACAAAGCACTCAGCTGAATTATGTGTAGCTCTGTTGCAATAAGCAATAAATCAATTAATCGCATGATAAATTAAAAGGAGGTTGATCATTTTCATTTGCTGGCTTGTTTGTTTTCTTCGCGTCACCCTCTTTTCTACTCGTTAGTGTAAGGAGGAGTCAACTCTCACGGTACCTCGGATCCGCAGGTAGTTATGTTTTTTTACACTACGTACATTTAGTAAACTTCCGTAAACTTGGTAAGCAGAGTTTACGGAAGAAAATAATTATTTTATGAAATCAGAGGAAGACACATGAAGAATAAGTTGCACCGGTTTGGATTGAAGTGGATAGTGATGTTACAGCTCCAGTAGCTGTTGTGTGTTAGTTTCACAAACTCCACTCCCAGTTTGTTCGCAACTTTACGTAAAAACTTTGTAAACTTTGTCAACTTTCGTAAACACAATCTCTGGTCCAGGTCAATTTGTAATTTTTTTATTACGCACCTAAATTTCACAATTTCCAGTGGTGGGCGGCACTAATCTAAATATTAGCTGCACTAACCCTAAAGCACTAACTCAAATATGTAGGTCCCCTAATTCTAAAGCACTAACGCATTGAAAAATTCAGCCAAAGCTARTTGTAAACCACTAATCAAGTTGACAAATGAAACATTCTTCAGAGTCAGCATGAGACGATATTTACTGTGCGCAGAATGTTATCACTTTGTAAGAAAATTACGTGTTCAATAGACTGAAGTCATGTCAATATGAAAACCACCAATTGATTTGTAGAAGGAATAAAATGATTTGTAGAAGGAATAAAACCATACAACACCAGAATTCTGGAACCAAGTGGGTTTATTGCCAAGTGGAGCTGACAGGAAACCACACTGACTAAAAGCCAGGAAGTGCATCAATTTATACAATTCTTCAGTGCCTGAGTTCGCCCCCTACTGACCTACGGCTGAGTCACAGGCATTCATACACAAGTCTCAGTCTAATGTTATAATAACGTTTCAATTATGTGTTGTTTATAATTCGGACATGTAACTACTCTATATCAATCAACACATAATAGATCAAACATTATAAAAAGGAAACCCTAGGAATCTAGTGTTGTGCTTCTAACATCAGTACTAACCTGTAATAAYTATAAATTTCTTCAATCCCCCTTTTCACATGACCAAATCATGTGAAAGTGCCCTTGGTGGGCCAAATGGGAGTCACCCATAGGCCACATTTGGCCTGTGGGCCTTGAGTTTGACACATGTGACATTGTAGATAAGAGACATGCACATGAACAAAATGTGTGACAGTTTTCAACCTCAACTGTGAACAATAATGTTGATCAATATCATTTAAAGACCTCAGTTAATGCTTTTAAATTTAGCCCATAAATTTAGCAAGTGCCAATCCACTAATGTTTTTTTTAAATAGCAAAAGCCCTAAAGCACTAATCAGGAAGGTTTAGTTTTAAGAGTGACTCTGCTGCTAAACAAGAAAAAATAAAATAAATCTGTAAACATTGTGGTTCAAACAGTGGTGGGACCTTAAAGACAGAGCTCAGCATTCAAACACATGCAGCTTTTGAGGAATTTCTGCCTGACAGTTAAGTTTATTGTTTTAAGCTAATTTGTCCTTTTATCTGCATATTTTACTCAATCAATCTGATCAGAAATAAAACACGGCAAATTGTTAGACTTGTCTATACCAAACGACTGCTGTTGTTGGACCTGTTTCTGTAGGTAAACACATACATTTAAACCATTCACACGAGATAAGCCTTATGCAAATTTAACTCTTGATGATTTTTTTTAAGCCTTAATGAATTTGCATGGCACAGCTTTAAAAGATAAAAGACACCTCTCTTTCTCAGTGTGTTAACCTGTTGGTTCGCGTCTGTGTGTCTCCAAGCAGGGTCTGCTGAGGGTTGCCATAGAGAATGCCCGGGCCCAGGAGAAGCAGGACCAGCTGGAGAGGACGGAGCTGAAGATGGAGCTTGTCCGAGAGAGGGAGCTCCGAGAGACGCTGGAGAGACAGCTCAGCGTGGAGCAGAAAAACAGAGGTAGGGTAGAGGCGGCTGTATTTGAACAGTCGCTGCTCTAAGTGTTTCTGATGATTATGGACAAGTTGGCAAGTATTGATTGAAGTGCTGCGTTTCTTTCCWGTAATTTTTCAAGTGCGTGTTTTAACGTCTGAACACAGACGATTCTGCTGCGAAGCTAAACGAGGCTTGCTTTAATCCACTTCTTAGCTGACAGGGTGTCCATTAACTTAGAAAATCAGATAAGGAAGTGAGGACACCTACAGTATATTACCCCTGAAAGCAGCTGCAGAGGTGAATTAGACTGATGTTGGCAGTATACAACAAAATAAATCAAGTTTGGCAAGTTCACAAAAGCCGTCATCTGCGGCGCAGTCTGAGCGAAGTTCTGTCAAGGACGTTTTGTTTGTTAGGGTCACACCATGTGGACAAAAGAGCGACAATAAAATGGAAAATCCTGTTTTTTTTTTTTTTTGTTCGTTTGTTTGTTTTTATGGGGAGTCCCACAGCTAAGCAACTTCTGACATCAATCCTCGTCTGTCTTTCCTTCAGTTCTGATCCAGAAGCGCCTGAAGAAAGAGAAAAGGAGTAAGAGGAAACTGCAGGAGGCCTTGGAGGAGGAAGTCAAGCTCCGCGATCAGGCCGAGCACAGCCTGCTGCACACCGCCAACACACACATAGGTGCTTAACCCGAAGCCTTTTCTTGTGAAAGTGCCTGTGACATCAAATTTTTGTAATAAATATGAACACATTTTTGGMAAGATAACATTAATAACATATTGCAAAACTAATTTCACACCGCTGAGATGACCCRTTGTTGAGATATTTACATGTGAAGAAACAGGAAGTGACGTCAAAGGGGACTGTCAGCATGTAAACAGAGCGTTGCTACAATAGCTAACAGACTGTGGAGAAGAATCTGTTTCTTAAGATTATTTTGAGTCACCGTCACAGAGATGAGGAACAGTTAAAGTTTAAATTTTGTTTCAATAATGACCAGAGTTGTCTTTCTTAAAGAGATCCACGATTAGTTGTAACATTAGACTTTATTTGATAAACCCTTATTTTAACTGTAAAATACAGACTGTAAAAATACTGTAGGCTATTTAAGTTTTGTAAATTTTAAAATATATATTTTAACATGGACGGAGCCATTTTATTTACACACAAAGCATTCTGGGTAAATGATGACGTGGATAGGTCCTCGGTGCAAGCGAGCTAAATCCACCCTGAAGGTTAATCTTGGACAATATCTGACGATTGACTCTTAAATGAAACCGGAGAGCGTTGACAGAGAGAAGGTACAGTACGTAGAAATGACTCAGCCTGTAACTGAAAATGTGGATGGAGGACAACAGAACTGCTTCATGGAAGAAGAACCTCAGCTTAGCCTGTTAGCCTTTGTGCTAGCRCTGACGCTATATTGCCTTATAAGTATTAGCTTGAGGTCCTCCATCCATATTTTCAGTTGCAGTCTGAGTCATTTCTACCTTCTCATCTCTGTCATGTKGATGGAGGACCTCAGTGASGAGAGGAGAATGTGTAGCGCTGAGCTAATACATATATATGGTGATAGTGTCTGGGCTACTTCTAAAGCTAACAGGCTAAGCTGAGGTTCTTCTTCCATGAAGCAGCTCTGTTGTCCTCCATCTATATTTTCAATTACAGGCTGAGTCATTTCTACCTTCTCCTCTCTGTCAGCACTCTCTGATTTCATTTATAGAGCCAATCGTCAGATATTGTCCAAGATTAACCTTCAGGGTGGATTTAGCTCGCTAGCAGCATCGTACCAAGGACCTATCCAGTCATCATTTACCCAGAATGCTTTGTGTGTAAATAAAATGGCCCTGTCCATGTAATATATTTTATAAAAACTAAACAGCCTACAGTATTTTTACAGTCTTTATTTTACTGTTAAAATAAGGGTTTATCAAATAAAGTCTAATGTTACAACTAATCATGGATCCCTTTAAAGAGTTCCCATTTGATGTCATTTCCTGTTTCACTTAAGTTTCAAAGAAAATATGCGATTTATGTGACAAAATGAGTAAAATCATGTGTATTATGCAAAGTTTCTTAAATATAATGAAGTTTTCTTTGACTTTCTGTATTTGAAGGATATACTACATGCCACAGGCACTTTAAATACCACTGTATTGTTTTTTTATTTTGTTGTTGTTGTTTTTTTGGTTCTGTTTTGACTCAAAACTGGGCCTAACGTTACCATGCTCAGTTTCCTTTTCGCACTAAATGTCACCAAGCTTTCAGTGTAACTTAGCTTTGAGTGTTCATTATCCTCTAATTAAGTGTCTTTATTAATTAATGACCAAACGGCAGGCCATCAATCACTGGCAGCGCCTCCTCACGCAGAATCTGTGACCCAGGACGCGAACGGGAGCAGTCATGACGACGACAGGCTGGACACCAAGGCGACACAAGGTACAGCTGTCCAGATAGCAAACGCTGCTGCCTCAGGCTGCGGCTGGGAAGACACACTTATATTTGGATCGGTAAAATATATATATATATATATTCCTATCCTGAATGTAAGTGTAGAAAAGCTGTCACTGCTAAAATAATGTCATCAAATAACAAGCTTAAGGCAACTTTATATTAGTGTTTGATGTTTTTTGTTTTATATTAGCTAATGAGTAAAAGTACAGATGAGTTAGGACAGCAGTTGGGTTCTAACTTAAGTTCCGTTTAATTGTAAGAGTAGTGGTTTTCCTGCTGGTTTTGATTTATTAAACTCCTGTTGACTGAGCTAGGACAACAGAATTCATTATTGCTCCCAGTCACTGCTCGTGATGCTCAACAGACCGATCTACTGGAAAAGGTTCTGAAAGATTTCACAGCGAAGCCGCTCCTGAGAAATTGAGCAAAATGAAATGAAGCATGAGACAGATCACCAGGGCTACAGTTTTAATGGAAGCAGGCCTTTTTAAAATATATTTATTTAGCCCATTATGTCATCTTCGCAGAGGCCAGATGAATGAAGAGAAAAAMCAAAACAAAACAAACAAGCAAAAAAAAAAAWGAGAAGGAAATCTCACAAGTCCCATCGTGATCGGACAGAGAAAAGAAAGAGTCTCTCGCCCCGGCCTCATCAAAGGAGTGCATCGTTTCTGCCCACCTCTGCTCCGCTCCGTGCCAAGACCACCAAACCAGACAGCGTGCTTGTTCAAAAGCAATTTTTAATTGAATGTCAGTGAAGCAAGAAGAGAACTGGCCACTAATTAATGGCTGTCTTAATTGTCCTCATGACGAGTTTGTTTGGACATCATTTGCATAATTAACACCCAGTAATAAATCATTTAAAGGGGAATTGTCTGTCAGACAGCAGGGCAGGATGTGGTCCCTTTGTGTCAGGAAGTTTTATCACCAGGAAAAAAAAAAAGTGGGGGGTGGGTGTCAGAAGCAGAAAAATGCTTTGAACRTAATAATGCTTCTTTGCTAATAATCTTTGATCATTGCTCTGCAGGAACTTCATTATTTAAAGACTTCATCACAAATAAATGTTTTATTTAACCTTAAGTGTTTTGAATGATCCAAAACTCTGTATTTCAGAGGGCAGGATGTTCCTGCAAACTGGGATGTTCTGAGGTACGCGGCGGCCGAAYGGATGGATGGATGAGTGAGCAGATGAATGGACGGGAGAACAGAGCGATGAAGATTCCTCCCTCGTGACGAACACAATCGACAGGCATGCTCGGTCCTGCTGTGGCATCTGAGACACGAGTCTCCACCTCCCCCACGTTTTCATGGGTGACATCTGAACTTTGGTGTCRCTCTCTTGTTTAATTTATTGAATTTATCATCCAATCTTTGCTGTAGTGGAAGGAGTGCTTTACTCTGATGTTGTGTTTGACCGTGTTTATTTCAATTTAAGATTTTTAGGTCCTAGATGACTATAGTTGTTTTTTTGTTTGTTTCATTTATCAGTGTTGTTTATTTGAACGCAAATATAACTTGTAACAGAGTTGTGTACATATATATAGTCATCATTTTTATTAATTATATTATTAWTATGAAGAAAAAAAACATAATGGCATGTTGTACAGTCAGTAAGTGACTTGTATTGTGTATGTTATGCAGTAGTGCAGTTCGACAATACAAACAATACAAATCCTTTTTATTAAGCCGTCTTCTTGATTCTGTCTTGATTTAATTCTTCTTCTAATTATTCACAGTTCTGCTGACAGCCTGTAGCAATAAAGTGCAGGTTGAAGATCCACCGTTTTTTGCATTGAATGCATGCAAAATTGTAGGAAATAATCTGGCATTGATTGATTCGGCATCTCCTAAAAACACACGCCCAAGTATTGACAGAAAGACAGGGAGGTGACTAGCAGGGTCACATTTAAGCTGTCTGTTGGAGAAAAATGCGACGACACATTCTCTCTTTTTGTGGATGAACTTTTTTGCTTTTACTTTTGCATGTTTTTGCCTCAGTAAGAAGAACACTCAGGTCAATAAGTATTTAAAAGCACATTCATTTATGTATGACTCTAATGAGATAATAATTTAAAGGGGGTTATGTTACATATCATGTTATAATGTACCCTTATCAAAAACATCCCCAGAGTGTTGTTTTGACTCATTTATGCATGTTTGTGAAATCCTTGAATCTCCTGTGGGCATGTGGAGCTGCCTAAACGCTTGCCGGTACAAAGCTCCGCCTATTTACACAAAGCCCCTCCCTGGAGCTCAGCCTGCAGCCGAGCTCCTGCCCCACAAAGCACTCCTCCYCCAAAACATGGTTGTGAAGACGTGCTGAAGTGGGAGTGTCAAAAACGGTAGGAGGTGAGACAGAGGCCAATTTCAAGGTGTTAGATGCTATGATGCAAAGTCAGGTTTAGTTTTGAGATATACAGCGTTTTCAGAGTTACTTTGTATTGACTAATTTTGTTATAAATATTTGACTTAATGATTGAATGAGACATAACAAAATTGAAATTATGTTAAAGGTCTGAGTCCAGACAAAGTGAGGACACTTTTCTCATTCGTTGTGTGTGTGCGAGGTATCAAATGCAGCTTTGAAATACTAGAAGCAACATCCTCAAGCGTATACTTTCAAAAAATTCTTAAATGACAAGAATATGAACCCTTTTGATGCCACAAGTAATATAAATCACCTTGTTCCCAACCCATTTATTTGGGTGCCACGTTCTTGTTTTCTTTGTTTTGCTTTCRTCTGTTAGGTTTTCCTCACACAGCCTTGTCTAAATGTCCCGTATGCCACTTCCTGGACACAGGCCGATAAGCTGTGAAGCAGGACTGAAACAATACCTCTGCTCCAGGCCATTCTTTTCCGAACACAGAGCGTTTGACAAATGAATAGCAATGATTCACATAAGCGAACGTGTGAATGAGTCATCAGCTTTTCAGATGACCACCTCTGAGGCTGTCTTGACCGAAAAAGATTTAACTTCATTCAGTGCTGCTCTTCTCTTTCACCCGCTCCCTGTCTCTCTCTCTCTCTCACACACACACATCTCACAATTCACTGAGTTGCATTGTCCTGCTGAGAGATGTGTAATGGAAAAGATAAATGGAGGATGAAGCTAAGGTGACAGGCCCGAGTTCATGTGCGCTTGCATATTTGCATGTGTGTTTGTGCGCGCGCACGGCACAACAGACCAGCAAACCATCTGCTCATCTCCTCTTAATGAACAAAGCAAACAGCAGGAGKCAAGGCTGTCTCCAAATCTGGAGTCTCTTTATTGGTAAGCGCACACAAACACACATCTCTGCACTGTTTAATCTGATTATCTTTGATTGAGAACAGGGGCAAAGCAACCTTTTTAAACCTCACTCCCACATCAGTGACAGAGAAGGTCTGAAACACAATTAGCAAGCTGTTACTGAGCTCTGCTTTGCAGTCACATCTGACCACAGGCAGCCAAATAGACCTAATGGCTGGGAACTAACCAATGGGAACTAATATAACTGCATCTGCAACACTGTTAGGCAGCTGCTTGCCATATCTTTTCGAATGTACTTGGATGCAACATAAGCAGTGGATCAAATCGCTCAGGAGCAGGCGGGGGACACACACTGTTTGATGTGAATAAAACTGGCAGCCTCTGAACCTTAAGACAAAGCAGAACCTTTGCAAAGGAAGTCTGGCCTTTGACAAGATATGACACGGTGCTCATAAGGCCAGAGGACCATAAGAAAAAGTCATTAATCTGGAGTTTGTGTAGCCACATCCTGCTCAAGACCTAAAGGATAATTAACGCTGTTACAAATCACATGGCTTCAGGACATGAAACATTTCCTCTGCTGCTTGGATGCATACCAGAAATAGATATTACATATTGAACAATCAGATGATAGGGTTTAAGAACAAATGAATTTGTGCTCTACGGCATTGAAATGCTCTATCTATGGGGCCATAAAAAGTGGTAACATGAGTAAAATGACAGCCCATCAGGAGTATGATTTGGTTACACGATATGCACTGATGAAACAAAGATGACTCATAAAAATCCATGTAAAAATAACCTTGTGGGATCAATAGTTTTCAGCTTGAGGATACTTCTTAAATATCAAATTTTACAAATAAAAATAATACTGCATTGCGTGTAAAGGACCTCACAAATCATAAAACATAGTATAATTAGATTTGTATAAAATCTCACCATCATTTTTAATGAGTGTGTAAACAGTTTACCAAAAATGGACACACTTGTCTTCTTTGATATGATTCAAATGTAAAAAAAATATATATAAAAAAATACTCTGATTTTACTAATTTATTTAGGTTTTTTTTTTTGATACCATGCACCTAAAAATGTTTTGGCATAAAATGTTTGACATATGTCTTATTTTCTTGTTTGTTGGGGGTGGGCTTGTATGGTTCTATATTTCATTATAACAATTTCATGTTTCTCCTGCAGCTGTGGATTATGAAGWTGTTCAATGTTAAAGTTTCAATGATGTCTAAATTAATGACTGACCAAAGATTTTGTTATGGTTTTGCTATCAAAATTTACCTAAATAGGGATAAATTATATGATTAAACAATATGTTTCTAAAATGCTTGTTTTTAATTGTACTATCTAATGAATAAGTAAAGCTCCTATTTTGCTTTGTATTTGTTAAAGTACAATTAACTATTGTTGGCAAAAATAAATTATTTAAAAACAAAACAATACTTTATGGAAACAGTTTTACTGATGAACCAGTTAAAATTTTCACCAAAATGTCCATAACAAAAATACCAAATACAGAACAACAGCGCCCTCTAGTGCTTATTTGTGTTCACTCCAGTTTTGAAAAATTAATTTTGTCCTTTTTGGACTTCCGTAGCCAATTCCTTCCTTCCTCTTCCTTTCTCTCACAGTGAGAACATGGATCTTCTCAACTTAATTTCGGCGTTTTAGTGAAATTTTATTTTGTCTTGAAATTAAGAGACTCCCTCTGGGTTTATTTCCTCACCTGGACGCCATGTTCACCGGGACCGGCTCCCGGGGCCTCTGTAAGTATGAACCGTCAAACCACAGCGAGGCTGTTCCAGTCTGACAGCTAACTTTTGTTAGCATACCGCTGTCATTCATTTACTCGAAGCTCTATCTGCCTGTTTTAGTTTCAGATTGATAAGCTTATCCAGACAACCTAACGACATAGTTAAGATCTAATTAATTAAATAACATGTTAAGTTTGTCCTTAGAGTGACTTTTTTGTTGTAAACTTTGTGTGTGTGTGTTTTATTTTACAGATATGGCTCCTCTGTGTAAAGGCCTTCTGTTGGTTCTTAATGGGCTGACTGTGATGCTGACCCTGCTGCCACAGTACCAAGAGGTGTTCGTGTACAACCTGCAGGCTATCACACAGCAGCACCAGGTTTGTCTCCAGGATTTATGTCTGCCTGAGCAGTGAGAGGAACCTCAAATAAATCTAACTTTCTCTGTATTTTCACACCCATTTCTCCCCAAGAAGCATTGCTTTCTTTAATTAAAGAGGTGTTCTTCTTACCAGCATCATTAAAGTTGATTAAAACGTCTGGATTTTATTTGGCTTAAATCCAGATAACTCAGCTAACCTTTTCACACTCTTCTGAGGTTTTATTTATTTATTTTTTAAATAGTGATATGTCAGTGTCGTACAATACAATGAGGTAATTTGAATTGTAGTAAAACAGCAAGGGTCTGGACCAAACAAAGAAGATAAAGTCATTATTGTGGCTACAACATTAAGAGGTCATAAATTCTTTTCATACAGTTCTCTTGGAATTTGTATACATTAGTGTAGCTAACCACCTTTGATTAAAATATCTATCTATCCATCCATCCATACATACATACATACATACATACATACATCCATACATCCATTCATCCATACATCCATCCAAACATCCATCCATACATCCATACATACATCCATCCATCCATACATACATACATATCCATATATATCCATAAGATAGAAGCCATACATGACCAAATATTTAGTGAAAACGATGGCATTCTTAACGATACACGAGCATATTGCCAGATCCAAACTGTCCAAGGTAACTGAAGTAGACAAAATACACAAAGGTATCAGAAAATTAAGAATGACCACTTATTAATTTCTGCAGTCGGGTAACTTGATGACATCAGAGCTCCTTTCATTTTGCTGATAAAACCCCCCAAAAATCAAAAGTTTGAAACGTGAGATGCTGCATCATATATTTGTGATGAATGCTGCGTTGTTTGAAGGAAGTGTAATGATACAGTGCTTTACTGTTTTCTATGTTCTCCCGTATTTCAGAGGTTTATGTGTGCTTAAAGCTTTTCTTCTCCATGTGCTGTAGGTGTGGAGGTTGTTGAGTGGCAGGCTGATCTGCCTGGATGTGAAGGACTCCTTCTGCAGCAGCCTGCTGATTTACAACTTTCGAATTTTCGAGAGAAGGTTTGGTTCCAGGAAGTTCGCTGTAAGTAAAAAAAGTAGGCCTGAGCATGTGTATTCAGTTTTTTTTCCATATGTAGTGGTTTACTTCCTCATCTAGTTGGTTGTAGAGAAATTTGAACTTGTGTTGTTGTTTTTATTAACAAGTGCTTACAATCACACAGCGCTGCCCTTTTTTTCCCCAGTCTTTCCTGCTGGGCTCTTGGTGTCTCTCTGCACTGGTGGACTTCCTTTTGGCCCAAGCCTTCCAGTATCTGTTTGAATATGAAGTGGAGGAACTGCCTGCAGGACTGTGAGTAGTATCTAAAGTCTGCGGTTATACCTCAGTGTTCTTTAGGTTTCTTTTATCTCTTTAATTGTTCAATCCCTCCATCCACAGGCTTGCTCCCGTCTTCTCCCTATTTGTGCCTTTCTACTTATCAATAMCCAGAATGCCAGTCACCCAGATACTGGGCCACATCCACATCACCAACAAGACTCTAGTTTATATAGTAGGCCTTCAGGTGAGCTTCCATATTGTGCTACTGCATCTATTTTAGTTCCACTGAATTCCTCAAAGTTAATTTTTTTTCCTCCTGATCTCATCTTTATGTTTTTTTTCCTCTTTAACTCCTTTCCTGTGCAGCTGTTGACTTCCAGCCCTTTCATGTGGCTCCTTGCACTTAGTGGACTGGTGAGAAACCAATATTTCTGTTGTTTCCCATGTGGCTAAGTGAAATTATCACCCATATTAAAACTGAATCTATTTTTTTTCTATAAAGGTAAAGGTATAGATTTTTAAAAATCCATTTGTAAAGTTCTTATGCAGATAGTAACATCTGTGATTTGGTGCTTAAAATGTAATCACCAAAAAAAGGCACATTTGTTGTAATCTAATGCAGTTCATATCCTCCGATTGTCAAACTGGTTTGAGCAATGCTTGAGAATCATAAATGTTGGCTCAGATGGTGATTTAGCCAGAAAAGGATTCCTGTTGCAGCATGGTGTGTGCCGTTTGTAACGCTGTTGTGAAACAGGCGCCTCTCCATGTTGCAACAGAGCCCATCAAAATGTCTGGTATTATTTTTGTAGGAGCTTCTTTTGGCGTAGCTATTTGTTCCTGTGCTACATTATAGAGTTCATGAATATAACCACTATTTGCACAAACAATTTTCCCAATGTGCCTTTCAGATCTCAGGTGGACTGTACCACTCCAACGTTCTGTGGTTACAGAAGATCCTTTATGTTCCTGCCTGGGTGTCTTATGTTGGACGTTATGGTCTGCAGCCACTCTTCTCAAGTGAGTCCGGCCACTATACGATTATTATTTTTTATGCGTTTTTATTTTTATAGGGGTCCTCTCAGTGTTTCTCTTGGGGAAAAATACATCAGATTTTATTTATTTTTTGGCCTGTCAGTGCTTAATGATGTTCATTTCTTTTCTTTATATTATTAACTGAAGTAAAACATAATCTAGTCTAACCTGCCATGATTTTGTGGTCAAATGACACTATTTCATTAGCCTTTTCATCATACAAACAATCTGAAATCGCCTCTAATTCCTAAATGGTTTCCTAAAACATCCTCTTCCGTTGTTGTATTTTTCCTACTAATGTTCAAGTCTTTTGTACTTTATTAGCTTATTGATGTTCCAATCTGTAACTGTCAAGGTTCCCAGCCGACCGAGGAGACTCCTCTGGGRATGGGGGCCACTCTGGACATTCAGAGGCAGCAGAGAATGGATCTGTTGGACCAGCAGCTGCTGCTGGCTCAGTACAACGAGGCTCAGAGGAACGCCAGACATCAGCCGCAGGTGGACACACACGCACACACACACACATAAACACACACACACACACACACACTGAAATATACTGTAAATCATCGACCATCCATCCTTTCATCCTTTTTCTCGCTCCTTGGCTATAATGCTTGTTTGTATTGCGTTCAAACCGATCGCTTTGTGTTTGCGTAGGCTGGGTTGTTGCAGTGGACCAGGTTGTTCCCTTCCCTGAGGCACCGAGGACAGAACCGACCCCCRATGCAGCCCCACCCACAGGCTCAGACACATCAGTCCACACAGCCACCATTACTAGAAAACTCCCCTGTTGCAGAGGAGCAGGTGGGGTTTGGCATGTTTGTCTTTTTGGATGTGTCTGCTTTAGTTTTACACTATACTCATATTTTCAGTGCCAGTCTGTTGTGAACTAATTCTCTGCTCAATCTGGTTCATCCACGCCGCTGTTTGTGCCTGCCGTTCTGGCAGATTTATCTTCTGCAGCTGTACTTAACGTTGTTTTAATCCTACAGGTTGCACGGTTGGTGGAAATGGGCTTTTCCAGGATCGACGCCCTCGAGGCCCTCAGAGCATCAAACAACGACATTAATATGGCAACTAACTTCCTCCTGCAACACTAAGGGAAAAGATGAGGTAATAAAAAAGGTGAAAGAAGACAGCAAACGAAAGAATCAGCTGCAATAGAAAAGTCAAACAGAGGAAAATAGTTGCACAGAACCAAAGAATGCAGGAGAGAATAGAAATTGTACAAATTGTTTGGGGCCGGTGTCACTGCTCCATGAAGTAACCTGAACTGAGGCCGACAGCAGGCTAATGGTTAATGGAAAAGTATGAAGCACAAAGTGAAAGACATTTGTGTCAAAGCTCTCTGACAGCCATACAAGGTGGATGACTTAGAGCTCAAACCCTCGAATAAGCTCTGGGAAACACAAAAGTTCTGAGTTTTTCGTGTTTTAAGTGTTCAAAATGTTAATCCTCAACACAGTCTGGTGATTTGTTTCTTGTTGTTCAAACTGATGTTGAACTCCACAGTTCTCACAAACTGTAAAAAAAAACAACAGTTTTATGTATCCTGATCTCATAATCTCACCTGCAAAAAATTTGACGCTGAATTTGATTAGTTCTACTAAAAATACCCAGTTTTTCAAACTTGCGGGCAGTAGCTAAGAACAGCAGAAGATTGATGTCTCCACAATAAAARGTGAAGGAGTTTGAAGTATCTTCCAGCATCGTAACCAGTTTCACCGTGATGTTTTTTTTTAGCTCGCAGTTGTCTGTTGTCGGAGGTTTCCGTGGATGTAGCAGGGCTAAACCTTTTCATGTTCGAGGAGTTTCAACGCAGCCGTTGGCATTTGTAGCTGACCGGTTTGGCTCAGTTTTATTCCGCGAGTATATCGTCGCACAAACGAGGCTGCACGGCAGGGGTGCCGTTCAGAGGGGCTTTCTCAGGTTCTGTGAGGCGACTCGTTTCGTTGGTAAAACCATTATTTTTACAGATATGAGTTTGCGTACAATGTACCTTATCAGGATTTATTTATTCTGTCTCAATGGAGCTCTCCTCTGTTGCCATTCCTGTCTGATTCATCAGTCTTAAAGATTTGTTGGTATTTATTATGCAATATCACTGCAAGAGAAATTTATGGAAACTATGCACTGCATAGAATCTGCTTTGTGTAAATAAAACTACATGCGAGAGAAGTAATATTGCAGCCACTGTGTATTGATGTCAAAGGCAGATGCTAGTTTTATATTTTGTGCATAACATTGACAGTATATGACCATTTAAATAGGTCATTTCTGTGTATTTTTTGAGAGTGAAAAGTGTAATGAGGGATTAGTTGCATGGACAACTTTCTGGTGTACTGTAATGACTTTTAATTGATCTGTGGAATAAATTAACCCTTTGACTGAATTTTTGTTTGTGTATTAGTATTAATTTATCTCAAATGAATTACTTCGGGTCTTTTTGGCCTGTGGGATTCCAGAAGCAGCCGATAGGTATCGGCAGTCCAAGCGGATTGTGGCTCGGGTGGTCGCTGAGGCAAAAACTCAGGTGTGGGGGGGGTTCGGAGAGGCCATGGAAAAAGACTTCCGTACGGCTTCAAGGCGATTCTGGTCCACCATCCGGCGTCTCAGAGGGGAAAGCGCTTCGCCACCAACACTATTTATGGTGGGGATGGTGTGCTACTGACCTCAGCTCGGGATGTTGTGGGTCAGTGGGCAGAATACTTTGAAGACCTCCTCAATCCCACTGACACGTCTTCCCATGAGGAAGCAGGGCCTGAGGACCCTGGGTCGGACTCCAATCTCTGGTGCAGAGGTCACTGAGGTGGTTAAAAAGCTCCTCGGTGGCAGGGCGCCGGGGGTGGATGAGATTCGCTCGGAGTTCCTTAAGGCCCTGGATGTTGTGGGGTTGCATTGGTTGAYGCGACTCTACAACATCGTGTGGACATCGGGGGTAGTTCCTCTGGATTGGCAGACCGGGGTGGTGGTCCCCCTTTTTAAAAAGACGGACCGCAGATTGTGTTCCAACTATAGGGGGATCACACTTCTGAGCCTTCCTGGTAAGGTCTATTCGGGGGTTCTGGAGAGGCGGGTCCATCGAATAGTTGAATCTCGGATTCAGGAAGAGCAGTGTGGTTTTCGTCCTGGTCGTGGAACAGCGGACTAGCTCCACACCCTCAGCAGGGTCCTGGCGGGTGCATGGGAGTTCGCCCAACCAGTCTACATGGGTTTTGTGGATTTGGAGAAGGCGTTCAACCGTGTCCCTTGGGGACTCCTGTGGGGTTACTCAAGGAGTATGGGGTACTAGGCCCGTGAATATGGGCTGTTAGGTCCCTGTATGACCAGTGCCAGAGCTTGGTTCGCATTGCTGGTAGTAAGTCGGACTCGTTTCCGGTGAGAGTTGGACTCTGCCAAGGTTGCCTTTTGTCACAGATTCTTTTCATAACTTTTGTGAACAGGATTTCTAGGTGCAGCCAAGGTGTTGAGGGGATCCTTTTTGATGACCTTAGGATCACATCTGTGCTTTTTGCAGATGATGTGGTCCTATTGGCTTCATCAGATCATGATCTCCAGCTCTCACTGGAGTGGTTCACAGCTGAGTGTGAAGCGGCCGGGATGAGGATTGATGCCTCCAAATCTGAGGCCATGGTCTGTGCCTTCTCCAGGTCGGGAGGGAGGTCYCACCCCAAGTGGAGGAGTTTAAGTATCTCGGTGTCTTGTTCACGAATGAGGGAAGAATGGAGCAGATCAACAGGCGGATTGGTTCTGCGTCTGCAGTGTTGCGAGCGCTGTGCCGGTCTGTCGTGGTGAAGCGAGAGCTGRGCCAGAAGGTGACGTTCTCGATATACCGGTCGGTCTACGTTCCTACCCTCAGCTATGGTCAGGAGCTTTGGGTAGTGACCGAAAGAACGAGATCRCGGATACAAGTGGCCGAATTAAGTTTCCTTCACAGGGTGGCTGGGCTMTCCCTTAGAGATAGGGTGAGAAGCTCAGTCATCCAGGAGAGACTCAGAGGAGAGCCGCTGCTCCTCCATGTCAAGAGGAGCCAGTTGAGGTGGTTCGGGCATCTGGTTAGGATGMCTCCTGGACCCCTCCCTGGTGAGGTGTTCTGGGCATGTCCCACTGGGAGGAGGYCCAGAGGAAGACCCAGTACACACTGGAGGGACTGTGTTTCTCAGATGGCCTGGGAACACCTTGGCATTCCCCCAGAGGAGCTGGCCCAAGTGGCTGGGGAGAGGGAAGTCTGGGTCTCTCTGCTTAGGCTGCTGCCCCCMTCGAMCCGACCCCGGWTAARTGGAAGAAAACAGACGGACRAAATTAATTTTTGTATTTATTTTGCAACAAGATCCAATTAAATTTTCATATTTTGGGTTGATRAGTCCAAAACAGTTTTTGTTTCCCCTTGACCTCATTAAAGGAGACACGTCATTCATTTTAAATTCTGGTTTTTGGGGTCTATATAAAGTGGGACTGCAATGCTCTGGTCTGAGTTCCTCCTTATCGCAACTCCACAATCCCCTCTTTCACCCCTTTTCTGACGTGTGTTATAATTCTGAGAATATGAACTGGAGGAGATTACTTCCGCAGGGGAAAAAAAATTAACACTTTTTATTTCATCACTTGAACGTGCTGTATGTTTGGTGGGAATAAAAAAAAAGTAACATATTACGGCATTTCATTTAAGTATTTTTTCATTAGCATAAAAAGAAATATAACAGTGTTGGTCCCAGCATTATTTTAGGGTTGTAAATTCTTACAGAAAACCACTATTGTGCTGTGTCAACACATGATGGCGCTCTTCTTTTAAGAGAAGATTTGTTTGTATTCTGAAATTGAAAAAAATRTTTGCAGAACCTATTTCTGTCATCCTGAGGACATGTAATTCAGTTCATATTTGAGTTGTTTGTTAGTGGTCAGCAGTCGGTAAAAATTTTAATTTGACATTCAACAGTCATCTAAACTCAGAAAAACTTAAACATAGATCTCATAGATATGTTTTTTTTTTTACCAGTGAGCCTGTAAGTACCTTTAAGAAATTTCCGTCAGTTGCTTGACAACTAAGGTTTAATGATGGAGAACATTAATGAATGGAAAATAATCCACCTGTAAATGCTACGCTCCTTTTTTTGTCACCAGATGGAGACATTGAGTGAGGTCTGTGGTGTTATTGCTGTGCCTCACCACACACACACTCACACACACACACACACACACACACACACACACACACACAGAGCCACGCTCCGGGGCAGTTAAACACCAGTGCAGAGGGTTTATGCACATCCTCATATAAGACTTAAGGTTTGACCGTTATTTCAGTGCGAACAAAGAAACCAAAGCCATTCTATTTATTTTATCCCACACATTTTCAGCTTCTCTGATCCTCAGCAGTCACATGTTGTTTTTATTAAAAGGCCTCCTGAGTCCACATTGGCACAGGTTCATTCAGCCTGGTGATGAAACCTTTTCATGCCCTGCAGTGATGAATGGCTGCTGAACTGAAAAGCAAATTAAACCAGAATGAGTGCTGTGATCTAATTGTTGAGTTTTAGTTTAATATTAATTTCATTTTTGACTGTTTTGAGTGAATTTACACAACACGGGTCAAAATGACCCGTAACATAATAAATGTATTTTTTTTCTCGACATAATACAAGGGTTAAGGACACAGATACAATAATAATAATAATAATGTAAACTTTGCATAAAAAGTAATGAAATTTGTGTGTGGTAGACAATGCTTCTTTACAATACAACTTATACCGATGGAAAGCCTGTTAATTTAACCTCTGGTACCCCCAGGTGCTGCCAATCAGGTGAGCGTTATAAGGTGTAAGAAGCATTGCTACAACAAAGAAATCATCTACCAAACACARATTTCTTTATTTTTTGTGCTACGTATACTGCATATACATGAGTCTATTATTGACAGCTTTTAGGATTTTTTTTTAATAAAGTGTCCTAATTTGTGGCTTTAATCATGCTTGATTTAGAGCTGTAAATGGCTCTCAAGCTAATGCTTTGTTAAAATTGGTGTAAATATTTTTTATTAATGCATGTATAAACGTGGGGAACCAAGTTGGAACTTATACAAGCTAGATTGCCTTCATTTTATTATATAAAACATTTAGCTGAGTATCTATGTGGGAGCATCAGCAAACAGAACAAGGATTTAAGATGTTCCAGGCTGTCTCCTTGTCTGGTGGAAAAACCTCGTAGCTTTTAAAGTACAGCCAGCTGAAGCTCGAAGAGTCAGCAGTTTTGTGGAGTTATTTGTCATTTCAGGTTATATAGCCAGTTGTGACTCTATTAACCAGAGGCTAGACTTAGTGTGGTACTGTATCATGATGAGCTCCTGCAGTAAGGAAGCAGTTTTTGTCAGTCGTGCACTGTGTGTGTGTGTCCATGTCAGGATAGATTTAACGATGAAGAAAGCAGCTGCTTTAACCCCCTTTTTGTTCACTAAACAGTTATTTTTTGAGGTTGGGAGACGTGATGTTCACCTGCCACTGGTGAAGCAAATAAAAACAAACAAGATGTACAGAAAAGTTTTTGTTAGCGCCATAATAGATTGAGTTTTCTGTTTAGAGTTATTAATTTTTTTTACCACACCTTGCACATTTAAGTGCTGGGTGTAGTTTGGGAGGGTCACTAAGTCCTAATGCCGCCTTTCATGCCAACGTTTGAAGCTGAGGTCATCTTATGTTGAAGCACAAACACGCAGACACATTATCTTCTGCATTTGTCGTTGAGGTGGAAAATAGGCATTCTCTCAAAATGCATCAGCTTTTTTCTTAAATGTATTTAAAGTATTTTCCTCTCCCAATCTAATTTTGGACAACTGATACATAGTTTGAATTATTGTTATTTAAGTTGAATTTTTTAAATCTTTTTTCTGATCTGTGGGGAGCAGAGGTCAGGAAAGCCTAGCCTGTGATCTGAAGGTTGCCGGTTCAATGTTGCCGGTTTGACTYCCTGGATAGACAACTGAATTGTGGGGTGGGGGGAGCCAGGAGTAGTTCTAGGGGAGGGGCCACAGGGGCATTGGCCCCTGCTGAAATCTGATTGGCCCCCTGAAGTGCCCCTGTCCTGTCCATCTGTCCTTTGCCTGAGAGCAATGATGATGGGTGCAATTCTATGCCCAAACACTAGAGGCGCTAATGAGTCAAACAGTGAAGTCCAGCATGAATCAATCTTAAGTCCCTGTCAACACTAGGCAATTTATGCCAATTTATGAAACATTTTCATGTCTAAATTGCTAATAAAAGTTATACATTTGAGCAATATGTTAGAAATACATTATGTGCACGCTGAAAAGAAACTTGCTGTTGATTTTTTTCAAGTCCATCTTCAACTTAGACATCTTTAAAATGTTCATAATTTGGCATAAGTCAGTGGTTCCCAAAG